TTCAGATACATTCACAAAATGGATAACCGAGTAAATTGCAAAACAATCTGAGTACAGAGCAGACATTTTCCTCTCAGGGGCTGAAGGCTGAAAGATATGTCCAGTTTTGCCCTCTCTGACCAGTTTGCCCTGTTTGGCTTGTTTCTGAGGTAAGGTCAGAGCTTGACGGGTTACTGCTAAACTGAAGTCTGTAATAAAGAGGGTAGCCAGGTGTGAAGATTTTTATTTTCTCAAGATTTTTTGTTTGAGTTATCTTTTATTAAGTGCATTGGAGCCTTAGAGGCACTCTGCAGCGTCCTTTGTTGTATGATAAAGGCAGCACTTAACTTTCCAGTGACTGATTTGGCTCCTGAATGACGAAGAGAGGGAGGGCCCTGCCAGCTTCCCTGGGTCTGCCCTTCTAGGAACCTGGGGGAGCAGTCCACTGACTGTGCAAAATGCCCTTGAATTCTGCCAGCTCTTGACTCCAAGCTGGGGAGGGAAACTTTCTCTGCCCCTCTCTCTCTTTGCCTCTATTTCCCCGTTCACTTTACTTCCTGGTCTCAGCAGCTCCCCCTCCGCTCTCTGCGCAAACCCCTCTGCAGTTAGCATAAACAAATCCCAAGCTGTTTGTATGTGTGTCTGGAAGAAAAATTCTCTGAGGATTAAAAGCAGACACAATAGAGGGAGTGCTCTCTTTTGCTTTAATCACTTCAGGCTCCTATGTGTTGACAGAAAGTTTTGTTAGTCTTCAAGTTTAAAGAAAGGAGCATTCAGGGGTGGCATACTGCTTTGAATTCTTAAGGTAAGTTTGATAGGCTATCTGCTGAGCCACAAGACACTCCCTTTTTAATAGGCTTTACTGCCCCTTTGACTTATAAACTCACTGCTACCTTCAAAGGGACCCATAAGCATGGTGAATTCTTGCGTTGGAAGACTCTGCTCACGGTCTTGTCTGCAAGTTGAATTTGAATTTGAATCCTTCTTGGCTGAAGCCTGTGACATGTTCCTCCTCTCTGAGCCTCTGCTCTTATGGCTCTATATTTCTTCCTTTCTTCTCTTTGCTTTCCCCACCCACCCCCAAGTTAATTGGTGCCTAGTGACTTGTTCTACTGTTTCCTCTTGTTTTGTGTGGCTTTTGTCTAGGGTCATGGTTCTCACCTGGGGCATGATTCTGCCCTCACTTCCGGTATGGCTCCTCCCTCCCTCCTTCCTGGAGAAGACTGTTCTCCTGTCTAATATTGGTTACATCATCTTTGCTTTAAATAACCAAGACCCACAGAAGGAGAGGATATTTCCTTAAGGATGCTACTGACCCTTGAATCCTTGAGTACTTATGAATAACTGGGTCATGTCAGCACTCAGAATTTGTAACAGAATTCCTGGTTCTGGGTTGCTTTGGGTGGCAGCTGTGCTGAGTTTGCCCACAGGGGAGCTTCCTGGCAGCTAATCTTTGACTCTTCTCTGAGGAACCAATTCTCTCTGGGAGTGCTGACTAACTCACTCCTTCAAAGACTGCTTGTGTGGCTTTAGGGTAGGATTGCTGGCTTAAAAAAAAAACGAAAAAAGGAAGAAAGAAAAATTAAAACACTCGCACTTCAAGGCAACCCCTATGAATATATGTTACACTGGAAATGCCCCATTTCTCAAATATTTATAAATATATGGTCTCCTTGGAATGTTCCAGATTTGTCATTTGGGAAAATTAGACAGCCCTGGGTCACCATCCTTCTTCAAAAGCACAGTACACTGTAACCAACACTGATTGACAGCTGAGTGATGCCCAGGGAATGATGATGAGTTGACCTGTGTATACCTGGGAGGTGTCAGACCTGAGACCTTGAACTGACTGTACCTCTTTCATAAGCCACACCTTTCATGACACCAGCCCTGCAGGAATATTGTCTGTAAAATGGCCATTCCCAGGATAGCTCCTTCTGGCTCTTTCCTCCTCTTCCTCTCTCCTAGGATCATTTCATTAAACATGGAGCAACATCTGTTGAGTGCCTACTGTGTGCCAGGCACTGTTCTAGGCATTGGCGAGATGGTGGTGAACACAGCCATTAGAGCCTCTGCCCCACTGTAGCTGACATTCTAGTGGGGGAGACAGACAATACAGAATAGATAAAATGACAGGGGAGAAGATGCCAGGTAGTGATAAGTGCTATAAAGACAAATGAAGCTGGGTAAGGGGATAGAGAGTGGGTGGGTAAAGGAGACCTCTCAGAGGAGGACATTTGAGCAGATGCTTGAATGAAGCAGAGGAGCCAGACCTGTGTGGCTCTCTGGAGAAGAGCATTCCAGGAGAGAGAAGGGCAAGGGCAAAGGCCCTGAGGTGGGACAGTGCCTTGTGGGTTCCAGGAGCAGCAAGGAGGCTGGTGGGGCTGGAGGGGAGTGCAGAAGGGGTGAGATGCAGGAGACAGAGGAGAGGTGAGGGGCTATGGGGGCAGATCACATTATAGGCCCACAGAGGCCCGAGTCAGGAGCTTGGGTGTTGACTCTGACTGTGAGGGGGGCCACTGGTGGCTTTGGGACAGGGACTGACATGCCTGCCATGCATCCTAACAGGGCTGCTCTGGCACCATGTGGAGAGTAGACATTGGGAGACCAGGGCCCACACAGGGAGCAGTTGGGAGATCATTGCAGTAACTCAAGAGAGAGGCCGTATCAGCTTGGGCTTGCCTACCCTCTCAAGCTTGCAGGCTCTCTGCATGCCCAGTGTGGTCCTTTGGTGTCCAGTCCCTCCACGTAAAGGAATTATGGGAGGTAGAGTCACCCTTTGCAGTCTGTACAGTGGTCTTCAGTTCTGTCCATCGTCCAGGTGTCTTCCCGGGGCACGCTGAAATCTTGACAGCCACCCCAGGATGCTGAGGAGGACCTGTATGCTAGAGCCAGGAGAACAAGGGCCTTGGCTCTGTCTGCACCTTCCCAGGGAGGGGCCAGGGCTGAACGAGATCTCCCAAAGGCCTCTTCTATCTCCCTCCATTTTCTCTTCTCTCTCTGCCTCTTTACCTTTTCCTGTGAGTCTCCCTTTCTTTCCCTCAACCCTCTCCACACTGCTCCTCTCACCTCCACTTCCAGAATGAAGACTGCTGCCCGGCACACCATCTCACCTCACCTCCTACCAAACATTGTCTCTGAAACCACACTGACTAGTAGGGATTTTCCCCCCTTCCCTCCTTCCCTCCTTTTTTCCCTCCCTCCCTTCCTCCCTCCCTCATCTCCCCCTTTCTATCTTACTACATCAGCAGGAAGGTAACACAGCTTGACTTTCTGAAGCCTGTCAACTATTGTGGGCTGCTTGTCAAGAAGGGTGCTATGTAAGCTGAAATGCTGCTCTAATTTCCACATTATCCCTTCCTGCTGCTTGGTGAGTTATTTAATTAGAAGACGCTGTATTTTCTAGGGAAAACACTTTGAACAGAAGGCCTGATTTAGCTGGAAACGGATGCCTTTATTATGTGTCAGAGAGCTAAAAATTGCTAGTGAGATGTCGATGTGTGTATGTATATGAAACAGGACAACATAAGCACACATAGGAAGAGCGATCAAAAGAGAAATGTGCAGGGGCTGGGGGACAAGGAAGTGTCCGCTGCGGCGGATGACTTGATTCCTGCTCAGGAGTGTGCAAGCTTCAGTTGGCTCCAGTTTGGCTAACACTGCAATGCCTTTAGTGCCACTGAGCCGGCAAAGAGAGCTGACATGCTGTTTTTCTAGGGGAAAAAATCTGCTCCCTTCACATTCCCAGTGCAGACAAGCAGCATAAAACAGAAATGAGACCCAACCGCCCAGAGTCCATACAGACTCCAACTCAAAGTCTCTGAATTACTTATTCAAATCTTGCCACTTTGCACATTTCCTCTTTAAAAAAATCATTTCACAGTAGCTCTTAAAAAGCATGAAGGGGGCATTCTCATTAGGATCCGATTTGTCCCAAGAGAGAGCTTTTAGGTTTCGTTTTCAGGAGGAAATTTCATGTTCGGGAGATGACAGTGTGGAGTCCATAGGACAGGAAGTCAGCTGAAAGCCAACTGCATCCTGTTTATTTTTGCTGTTTGTTTGTGTTTGTTTCCCCCTTTGGTGTCCCCTGTTGACCTGCGCCTCTCACTTTGCTTCAGGGCTCTCTGGATGTGCATGCTGCTTTGTGGCTTTTGGCTCTTTGGTGGCAGCCGAGGGGCCTTCATCCCCTATATTTCTGGGCCACACAGAGGAAAGAACCAAGATGCTTTCCCTGCAATGACTCCAAGCTCGAGCTAATAAAACTCCCCTCTTAAAGGAGCTAACCATTTAAAAATGGCTCGAGGAGAACTTGACAGTGAATTTCAGCTAACACACCCAGTGGTCTCTGGATTCAAATCTCCCCTCTCCTCCTCAGCGAGGCTGTTGTCTGGAGATTGTTTATTTTTATCTGCTCACTAGGTTTCCAGCCCTGCTGAGGGAGGAGCATGTACTTCCAGGGCTTTCCCTGGAAGAAATTCAGTTAAGGAGCCTGACATTTCTCAGGTTTCTGGAGAGATGATGTTCTGGCTTTATACTGACTGCTCATTTGTCGCCAGTGAGTAGATGGATGGTCCCTTAACCTCTTGGACCCTTGCTACTCAAAACATGGGCCTGGCACCAGTAGGATCATCTCACTGGGAACTGGTTAGAAATGTGGAATCTGAGGCTCCACCCCTGAGCAGTGGAGTCAGAATTTGCTGTGAACATGATCCACAGGGGATACATATCCATATTAATGTTTGAGAATCCCTGGACCGGCGCAGTGGTTCTCAAACTTGAGTGTGCATCAGAATCACCTGTTTCAGCAATCGTGCTAGAACACAGAGTGCTGGGCCCTACTCTCAGATCCACCAGGTCTGGGGTGAAGCCCGAGAATCCACATTTATTCATTCATTCATTTATTTTTTTTTCAGCTTTATTGAGGTATAACTGACAAATAAAATTGTAAGATATTTTAAGTGTACACCGTGATGATTTGATATATGTATACATTGTGAAAGGATTCCCACCATCGAGTTAAGTAACACATCCATCACCTTACATATTTGGGTTTTTTTGGTGAGAACATTAAGTTCTACTCTCTTAGCAAATTTCCACTATACAATATAGTGTTCGAGAATGTGCATCCTAATGGGTTCTCTAGTGAGGCTGCAGAGCTAGAGGCTAGGACCATAGTTTGAGATCCCTGGTCCCTCAAACGGCCTTTATTTCCTGCCTCTATGTAAATCCTCCTCACCAGCGTGGCTCCCCTTCCCCGCCCCCTTGATTCCCTTCCTCTTCCTCCCTTTGGGGAAGCAGTTGCTCCTCCTTAAGAACCTCCCTACTTCCTGCCTGTGAATCCAAGCCCAGGCTCACCTTTCACAGCCCCTCTGAGTTTGCTCCTCCTCCTCCACTAGCTTCCCCCGTCAGATTGCAAGCTCCCTGGGAGCCTCCCACTCCCTCACCCCGACGTCCACTCTATCACCAGGATCATTTGTTTCACCTCCCACATGTCTCCCCTCTACCCTGACACCACCACTGTGGTCCGAGTCCCATCTTCTTGGGCAGGTGTCCTCAAAGTGCTCTCCTTGTAGCCCCTCTTGCCGTCGTCATCTCTTTTCCCCCTCAAGTCTGAGCGACCTTTTCAAAGTCTTCCCCACCATCACTCCCTCCCTTCCTCTGACACCACTTCAGCCCTGTCAGTGGCTAATAATTGGTTAATACTAATTAAGCCTTCCTCTAGAGGGAAAAACAGAGAGATTTGTCTATAAAGCATTTTACGCATCTCATGGAAAAGCCTTATGCAGTCACCTGACATATTACAGAACCATTGTCACCTTCACACCTCGATCTGCAGCCAGACTGTCTGGGTTTGAAACCCAACTCTTCCACTTAACTCCAGGCAAGTCACTTGACCTCTCTGTGCCTCGATTTCCTCATCTGTTAAATGGGGACCTTAGCCATTAATCTTAGCCTACAATCCTGAGCGTGGCCCAGGAGTCACTGTGGGTGGGCCCTGCCTGCTCCTCCATCTACCTCTCTGCCTCCTTCACCCTGTTCTGTGCTCTGCTCCAGCCACATTGGCCTTACTGTCAGGTCCCTACAGGGCCTTTGCATGAGCTGAGGTGTTCTCCCTACCCCCACCTCACCTGATTAGTGCCTCAGCATCCTTCACATTGCTCCTCAAGCTTCCCCAGGGAGGCCTGTCTGACCCCTCTCCAACTGGTGAGATTCCTTTGTTACAGATCCACTTTCTCATCCTCATAGTGCTTTTTGCCCTTTACAATTGTACCTTCAAAGTGTGATAATTGAATCAAGGTGTGTCTCTCCTCCTGGACTGTAAGTTCCATGGAGCAGGGACCTGATTCATTTGTGTTGATCCCTGTGTCCTCAGGAGCTGGCATCTAGAATGCACTCAATAAATATTTGCTGATGAAACCAGTGGGATCCTTTGCAATTCCACGCAGTGACACGCACATCATGCACACCTTGGGTGGACTGTCCACCTCACTTAGGAGGTGTGAGGGAGTGTGGGTCTCTAAAAATATGATACTGGGAAACAAAAACCAGACTCCTCTCCAAACCTTTAACAATTGCCTTTTTAAAATTGTCTGTAATATATAAGAATTTGGCTCTGAATGTCTCCATAATTGGTGGCATGAATCGGCCCTTGAGGTCGGAAAGGCTTCTTTGCTCTGGCTTTAATTAGGACAAAGTGGAAGCCATTTCTATGTAAATTAATCAATCCATTGACAGCACACTTCAGCTCTGATTATATGTTGGGCCTTGGGCTGGAGCCCTAGGAGATGAATGATGCAGTTTCTGCCCCTGAGGGGATGGGAGGCAGATGGCAGTCCCCCGGAGAGTTTAATAGCAGGGAAGAATTCAGTAACAGTATGGACGATGGCACCAGAAGTGTGCTTTGAGCTTAGCATCAACCTCAGCACTCCCCTCACCTCACATTTCAGAGAGCTTGAGACATCACCGTGAGACATCTACAGAAGGTCTCCAGGAAGATTTTGGTACTTCAGTGAAAATGTCAGTGTTGTTGGAAAGAGCCCAGACCAAGGAAGGGGCTGGGGCTGGGGTTGGGGTCTAGGGTGAGCTAACTGCTTACCTGGGACCAAATCCTGACCCTGGCACCCACTGGTCAGCAACTTGGGCATTGTTCTGAACTTGTGTGAGCCTCAGTTTCCTCATCTGTGAAATGAGAATCATAATATCTACCTATAGAACCATGGCAAGGAATAAACAAAACAAGGTACACAGCACACTTAGCACAGTACCTGTGATGTAGAGATGCTGAATCTGTTGTTATGATGAGTATCAGGCCTGCAGGGCAGTGCCTACCAAACACCTATGTGGCATTTTCTATAATGAACAACAGCTATCACCAAAACAGCCTATTAAGTTGCCAGCAGGTATCTGACCTGTTCACCACACAGGAGCAGTAGGGCGTCAAAGAAATGCTGACCAGTCAAAGTTCTTGGAACAGTGAAGGTCACTGACAGTAGCGTTATATGGAATCTTCTCAAGTGTGTGAGTCCGTGTAGTTAGACAGTTTATTACTCTAAGTCATATTTTACATACAAATTTTCAACAACCTTTTTTTGTAAGGCTGCTTGTTGTGTTTTAAAATTATGGGTTTAAAAAAGTATGTTTAAAGTAATCAGAGAGTCATCACTTCCAAGTTCTGGGCACAAAGTGCTGACTCCCGCTAAGAACATGGGCAGGCCCGAGGTCACGGGCATGGCCTTGGGTCTTACAGAACTGAGTTTGCATCCTGACATAGCCCCTTCAGTTCTGGAACCCTGGGCAGGCCCCATGGCCTCTCTAAGTCTCATTTTGTGGCCTGTACAATGGGGTTAATAGCAATACCTATTCTGAGGGCTGTTTTGAAGATTAAATGACATAGATACAAAAGTGTCTGACAGTGTGTCCAATAAATTGTTGGTTTCCCTTCTCTTCCCATTAATATGTACATTCTCTGAGCAAAAGTTTTGTCAGCACTTAACAGAATTAATTACAAAGCCAAATTAAGGGAGTCTATGAGTGTGATATTTTACTATTTTCTCCTTTTGATGATGGTTTCTGTCACCTACTGTGAGAAAGAAAAGGCTTCTTCAGAGTCTGTAGTCTGAAAGGTCATTGTGTGTGTGCATGTGTATGTCTACCCCCACATTAACACACTTTTCCCAGGACACATTCATGATTCCTTGGCAGTAGATGGGTCTTTGGAAGGGAGTCATAGGATTGGGACCATGACTTGATTTCATGAGCAGAAAATTGTATATTTTGATGACAGAACATTAGAGAATGCCCACTGTAGAAGAAGGTCACAAGGAGGCCATTGTGGCTAGTGGTGCCTGGGCCATTGGCTTCTGGGAAGTGATGCCATGTTTTTCTTGCCCCAGGCCCATGGCTACGTTTGCTCACCCTCAGAAACCAGTGTGTTTGGAGACCTTGGTGGCCTTTGATGAGTTTCGCGTTGCTGCAGCTCTCCTGTTTTTAAGGTTAGGGACTGGGGCTGGGAAAGCAGCAACCACTTCAAAGAGAGAAATAGAAAGTGCAGTTATGGCTCTAGTGGCCCCGTAAATGGAAACTCCCCAGGGCCTGTGGCTTCACAAGGGACCCTTGGCCACATCTGCTTTGGGGGTCCAAAACTTAATGGTATAAACTGTTCCAAACATAAAGGCAAGTGTTTAAAAAACAATTTCCAGCAATTTCTACAAGCCCAACTTGTTTGATTCATGAACTGGATAAGTGACAGGACTCACTGTTCAATTTAGGTTTTTGCATCTCTAAGAGATGCTACTGATGCCTACCAGTGAATGCTCTTGACATTCACTGTTCCGGTGCATACTTGGACAGTGTCCTAAGTAGCTACAGTTCTCAGCCTGTGAGCAGGGCAGGCCAGAAGTGCCTGGGAATTAATGCTCCTGGGAGCAGCCTTCAGTCAATGAAAGATGAAGTTCCTCACCCCTCAAGTGGGACAACTCTGAGATGTGTTTTATAGTATCCCCCAGAGTCCCTCAACAACATTCTGAGGGCTGTTTTGAAGATTAAATTACATAGATACAAAGGTGTCTGACAGTGTGTCCAATAAATTGTTGGTTTCCCTTCTCTTCCCATTAACATACACTTTCTCTGAGCGAGGTCAGATCTCCATTGCCCATGGTGGAAACCTATTTGATAACCTACCGTTTATGGCTGCCTTCCCTTCCCTGTCTCACTTCCTCACTCTGCTACCGTGCTTCCCAAATACACTACTTACAGTCGAATCTTTGTCTCAAGGTCAGCTTTGGGGAGAATCTATCCTAAGGCAACATTTCAGAGTGTCCCTAAAAAAAACGTAGTGATCTCATTTACTGAAATACAATATGAAACCTGAGTTATCAACACCAGCCTGCTCATTGTCTCTGACCTTGGGCAATTAACTTCATTTCTTGAGATCTTGCCCGTTCTACAAGAAGAGGGTCACGGGCTGCTTCAACTGGGGTGCAATAGACAGTTTGGGTGGAACAGTGATTTGTCGTGTGGGATGAACTGGGCATTCCAAGTCATCTAGCACCATGCCTACTAAAATCAGTAAGGGGGTCCCTCCTCTAGTCATGGTGAAACAACAAACACCCCACACACTACCAAATATCTGTAGGAGGCAGCACTATCCCTAGTCGAGAACTGCTACCAGACCATTTCTGAAGTCCTTTCTGGTTTTGACATTCTACAATTACATTATCAATTAAGAACCTCAGACGCGGAGTGACACCCACCATGGCACATTTCAGTTTGGGAGGGCTGTTCAATGATGACTCTTGAGTAGATTCCATGATGTCAGAAATAACCACTGACTTGCCTTCTTCTCGAAACATTGAAGAAGGGAACATTTAACTCTGCCTCGGCTTCTTATACTCGTTGACCCATTTCTCCCTTCATTCACTTGACAGGGTTTCCCTGCTTTTGTGGTCAGTGAGAAACTTTAAAAGCTTGCCTGTAGATACATACATGCTCTGGAAGCATTGGCTCTTTCTTACAGCAGGCTCATCCCTGGGTAACAATGTCTCTGGTTATCTCTACCTTGTCAGAGACTCACACATAGAGTATAGAAGAAGAGAGAAGGAGAAAAGTTTTGGAAGGTTTGCTCTGTCTTAGATGGAGGCAGATTTCTGATTTATTCCTGAGCCATTTATTATTCTACCACTGGAGTGATTTGAGGCCACCACAATTTTCCTTTTCCTTTTACAAAAGAGTTTGAGGATGCCAATAAATTGCTTTGTTTTCTTGAAGAAAATCTAAAAATATGTTCCTGTGTGGGAAAGATTGGTCTCATTATGCCACACACCTAGCCACTGTCTGCCATGTAGGAAACTGTCCATAAATATGTACCGAACTCACGAAACAACAAGTTGTTCTTGTTCACTGCGTGAAACCTTTGAGAACTTTTCCTTCCACGGATTTTTTTCCATTCCAAGAAGGCATTGGAAGACCATGCTACCATGCCTCTTTGGTGTGTGGTGAGCTTAATTTTTCCAGGAAGGAAAGTTTAGGGGAATTCTTATCTTGATTTCCCATAAAGTGATTAAATTGTGGAGGTATATTGAAATATGTCATAAAACCTATTGCAATAGCAGCAAAGACTTGCCAGATGGAAAGCAAAGCAACAACTCTCGTCATGTCCAAGCAAGACAAGGACCAATCCAAATAAAGGAAGAAAAAATGGGGCATTTGCTCCCATCTTTCAGGCAGGCACATGGTGCCAACCTTAAAGTGGAGTTTCTGGTAGACATTTTGCCTGTTCTCTTAGGCTTTGGTATCAGCAAAACTCAACAGCTGAGCTCTGTCAAAAGCACCACAGGGAGATGGGAGCTTGATCTTTAAATTGGATTCCAGGCATAATAAATGATGAAATATCTGTGCTTATAGGTTTAAACTGGGGCAAATCTACCTCTAAAAGAAGACAGAATCTCTTTGCATAAGGAGGAGAAAGTAAAGTGAGTTAGAATTAAATTATGTAGCTGAAGAATTTCTGGGAAAGTATGCTTCCTAGTCCATCCCAGGCAGAGGTAACCACGGGGTCCTGCCTGGTGCTATCCTGCTGATGAGGTCAACTTTTCACAAATCAGACCCTACGGAGGTTAATTTCTGTAACAGGACAAAGCTGAACTTCAGAAAAAGAGGGCTTCAGGTCACAAAAAAATGGAGGTGTCCTGTTGGCTCAGCACAGTGGCTAAGTCCACCAGGAAATGTGGCGTCTGGCCTGGCGGTGACAGGGGAGTACGTTGCAATGAGGGGGTTAGACAGAGGTCAGCAAAGCCAAAGGGTTTCAAAGAGGCAGGCATGGGGACTGTCCTGCTCAGCGTCCTGACCCGCCAGGCTGATGTCAGAGGGTTTATTCAGATTTGAGAGCCTTTGTTTGGGGGGATTGGAGTGATTCCTAAGAGACAATACGCGACTGGAGGCTGGAGGCACGCGACGCCTGCATTGAATTTGGGCAGTTGCTGAGCAGATGGGGAGCAGAGGGGCAACAAAGGGGAAGCTGTTCCCAGCACATCCACGGGAAGGGAGGACTGCAGAGCCAGCCGCCAGCAGAAGGGCTGCCTGCCTGGGGAGGCCATTGTGCCCCCACCTTGTGCAAGACAAAGCATCCCCAGGGCTTGTGAGGCTTTGCCCATTTCACGGAGAGGAGAGAAAGGCAGGTGTGGGAAGGGTCAGGTCCATGAACTTCTCCTGCAGCTGGAATTTCAGGAGGTTTGTGCCATTTCCTCATTTGCAGGCTGGTGAGGCTCCTGGACTCATAGAATGGTAGAGCAGAAAGTGGCCTCACAGTTAATCCAGTCTGACCCTCTCATTTTAAGGTGCATTTAAGGAAATGAGACCTAGAAAAGTGAAGTGCCTTTCCTAGACTCTGTCAGTGTCTTTGGTTGGCTTCCTCTGAAAGCAGGCATGAGGCGAGGAATGGAGTGCGAGCTGTGTGTTTAGGAGATGATCCCAGGAAGCGGTGGTCAGGGACTGGGGACGTGAGACAGGAAAGAGAGGGAAGGCACGTTAATGAGCAGCTCCCAGTGGCCTCAGTACTGCTTGGGACCTCTGGGAGACTGAGTCAACACACTTCAGAGCGTCCCACCCAGGGGGTGAGGAATCCGCAATTCCTGCTGCTCCCAGAGGCATCGAGTCCCCGGTACTTTTGAGCTCCTGTGGCCAGAGAAAGCCTTCAGACAGAATGTCGCAGGTGCACGCAGCAGGCAGCCGTGAGCACGTAGAGAATGGGGAGGGACTTCATCAGAGGGGTTTCTGGTGAAGCTCTTGCCAGTCCCCTTAGCTAGTGGGGAGGCTGACCTTTCTGAGTCCAGGCAAGCATTTCTCTGGGTACTCAACATCACACAGATCAAGAATGCTTTTCTGTGCTCTTAGGGGTGCATGCTTCTCTTTTTCCTGGGAGTACAGTAGATGTTCAGGTTGTGCATACAGTGACTCTCCTTCTAGCCATTGCCTTTGTCTCCCTGCCTCCCTTTTAGCCAAGCTTTACAGAAGCCTACCTGATTGGTGCCCTCTACCAGCACACACCTCTGATCATGCTCCTATTTGTCTTCTTTTTCGTCCCACCCCAACTGCACTGCCTCCTCTTTATCCCTGGAACATACCAAATACACAAGGTCCTGCCTCAAGGCCTTTGCCCTTGCGGTGCCCTCTGCCTGGAGCACTTTCCCCCTGCTTTTCACATGGCTCTGACTCCTCTTTAGGTCTCCATTCATATCTTGCCTTATCCATGAGGCCCTTCCCGACCACTTCCTTTAAAATGTGACACAACCACTTATCTTCGTCCTCCTTGCCTGCTTTATTGTTCTCCATAGTCCCTAACACTCTGTGGCACCCCATACAATTTGTTTGTTTAATCATATCACGTGTCTACTTGTCCGCTTGGCCTCTCTAGAATGTAAGCTTCATGAAGGCAGGGACCTGTGTCTGTTTGGTTCACTGCTGCATCCCCAATGCTTAGAACTGAGCCTGGCACATTGTAGATGTGGAACAAAATTGTTGAATGATTGAATGGTACTATGGAGATTAGACATGTTTCCTTCTTTTCCCCTTTCTCTAGCAACTAGCACAGTGCCTGGAAGGCTAACAGGACCTCTTTGCCCTAAAATTTAAACAACCCGAGGGAGGTTTTGCCTCAGGCAGTCAACAGAACAGAGGCTGTGGAGCCCAGCAGACCTTTGCTGGAGTCCCTGGATTCAGAGCCCAGTCCGTCAATGTCCTAGACATTACTAGCTCACCATATCCAGCTCTCCTCTCTTCCGGGCACATGGAAGGTTACACTCCTCAGCCCTCTTCAATGGGGCAGGGCCACATGGCTAGTTCTGGCTAATGTGCTTTCAGTGGAAATGATGTGTCACTTCCTGGCTGAGGTATAGAAGAGCAGGTGTGAGGTCTCCATGTGCTCTTGTCACCTGACTCAGCAAACCTTGAAGTCACTTGTGGAGATGGTGGAGCTTTTCCACCTGGGTCCCTGAGTAACAATATGGAGCAGAGCTCCCCACTGTCCTGCTTTGTACATATGACATGGACAGAACACCTTTAATTTGGGGGTTATTTATTACTGCAGCGTAATCTAGCCTATTCTAACTAACGTAATCAAGTACTAGTGGTGTTGCTGTAGGTAAGTCACTTCACTCTGAACCCCTATTTTCTTATTCATAAAGTAAACAATCTCTGTACCGTAGGGCCAGCATGTGTGTGTGTGTTTGTGTATGCTTGCTTTAACTTGTGACTTCCACAGTAGCCCTAGGGAGGAGTTGCTGAGGACCCAGTCTCTCCAACAGATGCAGTATCTCAACCAGGAAGATATAGCATGCTGCCTTTGGAGTCAGAAAAGGAAACAAATTCCATGACATGGGGCTATCAGGAGGTTTCTTGGTGAATTTGGACTCTTTAGAATGAAGAGATTTGCTACCAGGGAAGGGCAGAACCGATTGTGAATGATAAGAGCTAAAGCAGTCTGGGTTGGAGCAGTTAAATGTGAGCTCTGGGTCTATGTGGCAGGTTACTTTGGTATTTGAGAAGGTGGAGTGTCAGGCTGAGGCAGAGAGAAACTGATCAGACCAAGACTAACAAGCATCTGATTTGGGTGGTGGAGAGAGGATGGATGGAAGGAAACAGAAATGAGGAAATCTGGGCTTAGCTCTTGATAAACAGGTAACCCTCTGAAGAGCTTTGGAAAATTAATTTCACTTCTCTGAACCCTGGATAGGGCAAAACATCAGATATTTCCTAAGAGGCCGTGCCCCTGCCCCTCCCCCTACCAAGTGACTGAGCTGTTCATCTTCACAATGACCCGATTAGAAAGAAGGGAGACAAATACCCATTAACCCCCCTTCTGGGGGAAAGACTGAGAGATGTGTCACTAAAGCATTTTATACATCTCGTAGAAAAGCGTTATGCAGTCACCTGATGTATTGCAGAACCATTGTCACCTTCACACCTCGCTCTGAAGCCAGACTGTCTGGGTTTGAATCCCAACTCTGCCACTTAACTCCAGACAGGTTGCTTAACCTCACTGTGCCTCAAGTCTTCATCTGTGAAATGGGGATAATAGCAGTGCCCACCTCATAGCGTTCTGGGGAGGGTAACATGAGTTCACTCAAGTGATCTACTGAAGCCAAGGAGCTGGCACACGGCTAACATTCAGTCAGTGGGAGCTCTTACAATTGTGATGATGGCATTATTCACAGCCTCACGTGCGCACGAATCCTCTTTCAGGGTCTGCATTCCATAGAACATTAGCTAAGAGAGTGAAATACCAAGGGTCGAAAAACTCTGTCCAGTAGTTTATAATCCTAATTTCATTGGGAAAGGGCGAGAAGAGGAAAAACAATCCTGTAGGGGCATCTAAACCTTTGAAAGAGGTGCGGTGAGGAGGGCTTAATCTTCTTGGCTTGGTCAGTCATCACCCACTAGCTGCCTGACGTCTGTTACGGACCTGAGCCTGCTGTGAATTGATCTCCACTCCGGCTCCCTGCCAACATCATCGTGCAAGGCGGCCAGAGCCTTTGGAAGCGGCCTGCAGAGAGACTGCCAGGGTTCTGTGTACTTGCACGCCCGCTCCCCAGTTGTGAGAAGCAGTTTTTACATTTCTGCCACTTGCCTGACCTGCTGTGGCAAAGCAGCCTGCCGGGGAGGCTTGGCATCACTGCCTGGCACTGGTGCCCGTTCCTTCCTGGCATTGGCCGATGCTAGCAGGAACAGGGACAGTGCCAAGCATGCTACCGTGGCTGTGCCAAGCAGTTCCACTGCAGCAGCAGCCTGAAGATGCTTGAACCTGCTCAGTTGTCGTTAAAACTAATGCTGAAGACACTAGATGGGGCTGGCCATTTCCTTACAGCGTCCTGTCTCTAAGCAGTTGTGGCTTCCTGGGTCAGCTTCATAGGCATCTATTGTTCAGATGGCTGAATCCAGAGAAAGTAAAGCTGCCACAACAAGGTGACACCCCAGGGGACTTCTCCTTGAGGAAGTCCTGAATCCAGAGAAAGATTGAGACAGAGAGAAATGTTGAGATGTGCAGTGCTTTTGCATCAGTTAGCCCTGGATTCAAGCTCAGGATCCATCACTTCCAGGCTGGATGATCTTGGGCAAGTTACATGATCATTCTAATTCTCAGCGTTCTTATCTATGAAAGTATATAATTGTATATATATTTTGTATAATTGTATAAATTATATAAATTGTATAATAATTGTATCTAGCTTGTGGCATTGTGATGAAGAGTAAAGGAGATAATAAGTAATAATTAACACAGTTTCTAGCACAAGGTAAGTATTCGACTAATGCTAGGTGCTATTATTTCTTATATATTACTATTAATATTCTCACGGGTGCTTGACCCTCTAGGGAAGGTGGTATAAACCAGTGCTTCTGAAACTTAAGTGTGCATAAAAATCATCAGGAGAGGTGGCAAAAATGCAGATTTCTGAGCCCCATCCTCAGAGATTCTGGTTCCACAGGTCTGCATTTCTAACAAGGTCCCTGGTGATGCTGCTGTTGCTGGTCCATGGACCACACTTTGAATAGCACTGGTATAAACCACAGGGCAGCGTTATCCTTATCTGCAACAGGTATTCTGAAGCACTTAGGGGGTGGAAGCAATGCACTTCATCTTAGCTCATGCCATAAGCTCCACATAGAATCATGTGACTTTTACCTGACTGTAACTCCTATTCCATTTGGCTGCAGAATTAATACTTAACATTGTCCTAAGCATTGATAAGACAGGAAGGCAGAAGCTAATGCCTAGAAAAACTGACATAACTAGGAAATGCTTAGGGCTTGAAGGCTGATCCTACTGCTGAACCTGAACGCTACATAGAAGTCAGAGCATATTCCCGTCACAGGGAAGTGGGTTCCCCTTCCCCGGGGAGGCTGCTGGAGCTGATGGAGGGACGCGTGCTCATTGTCGGCTTCTCTTGCACAGAGCTCACGCAGAGAGGAAAATAAAGGTGCTAAGGAAATGCTCTCCAGGCAGTTCTTGATTCTTTTTCATTTGTAGTTATGAGACACAAAAGTCAAATACCATTGCTATCAAAATAAGGGGCTAGATTGCCCTCGGTGTCCTGTCAATTTTCCCTCACATCTTCGTATGCCGGTGCCGTCATTCAGAGTTTGGGATTTTCTCCTTTCTCCATGTCCTCTCTTTTTTCTTTTGACAGCAGAGGCTCCTTCACTCAAAAGTGTCTGGATTCTGGGAGTCCCTGAATTTGGGTCTCCCTGAGGACAAAATGCAAGAGTAATGGAGCTGTAGGCTAACGCTTCATAAGTGCTTTGTCTCAGCCAGGCAGACACTGTGCTAAGTGCTTTCAGGCATAACATTATTTAATTCTTGCCGCAAGTTGAATGGGGTTGAAATCATTTTCCCATTTTACAGATGAAGAAATGGAGACACAAAAAGGTGAAGTAACTTGTTCAAGGTTGTAGGGCTAGGAAGTGGCAGAGATAGATGCAAATCTGACATTTTGAGCTCGGTTTTTAACCATGATGCTTTATTTGTGTATAATCACAACCATGTAAAAAATATAAGCCAGGCAAAAATTCTACAAGGAAATATATCAACCTTTTGACAAGCATTTGTCTGGATGATACATTGGTACCACTGTGCACTTTTTTTCTTCTGTTCTGATTTTCTAATTCTTCTCCCGATGACCATATATTACTTTTACAATAAAATATACTTTACTCATTAATTGAAAGAAAAATCCCTTAGCTCAGTCTCTTTCCTCCTAGTTCAATGTCTAAAGTCATCCCAGGCAGATGATCTTCTGTTGTTCTGTGAAGAGGCCCAGGGACGCAAACTCTGCAGGAGCCAGTCAATTTGGTTAATCATTCTGTAGATTTACCTACATGAGGCCCCAAAAGTGGCTGACTCCATTATCTGGATGGAAGGACTCCTTGTAATCATGTGCTCTCCTGCTGAGCAGGGACCTGCTGTCAGGAGGCTATGCCCTCTGAGTTGTTTCTCTGGTTGTTGAAATGAGCTTCTGCTGATCATCCAAATTCCTCTTTAGCCACCTCCATGCCCCAAAGCCTGCCGTGGAGAGTTGGACGGCGAGGGCTAGAGATCAAACTCGTGCCCTTGGCCTCTTTATTGGTTAGGGTAGGCTAATTGCTGCAACAAGCAGCCCTCAAATCTCAGCAGCTTAATACAATAGGCATTTATTATGCACTCAGCTAACAGTTCCGTTTCATCATTTTCTATTTCCAATAATATTTGGCAGGAGATCCTCCACCTGGTCATTCTGAGACCAGGCCCCTCTACCTTGTGGTTCTGTCTCACAGTCTTCTGTTGGATCTTCTAAATCTGACTGGTTTACAGGGGATTCTCACCCATGGGAGATGTCTACGGGCCAGGCCTGGAAGCGGGCGCACATCACATCTGCACGTTCCATTGGTCAGCAGTCAGTCACGTGGCTACCCTAACTGTGAGGGAGGCTGGGAAATGTAGTCCAGCTCTGTTTTGAGACGGAAGAGGTAACAGGTCCTGGAGAGCACATAGCAGTGTCGGCCATAGGCACATTCATTTGTTCAGTGAATGTTTTTGGAGTGTCTGCTGTGTCTTGCCCATAGATGCTGTTTGTGTCCTGTTTGCAGTAGGCATGGGGTAGTTTTGTCTTTTGCCTTTTTGGTCAGAGCCAAATTTGGAGAGTTTTAACTCTAGACTAAGTAGAGGTCACTGTGCCTGACTTCTAATCTTTTAGGGGAGTGCATAAGGCACTGTTGCCTCTAGAAACACCCTGGTCTGCATATCAATCAGGATTCAACTAGAGAAGAACAACCGTGCCAGTTATTTTAATAGAGGCCATTGCTTAAACAGGCATTAGAAGACTGAAAAGGCAAAATGTGAAACAGAGATGGGAACTGCAAGAAGCAGTGGCCACCCCCGGGACTTGGGGAACAAAGGGAAGAGGTTGAGGTTATCAAAATGTAGAAGTTTGGCGGTGATACCATGCAGAGCTGGGACCCAGACCCCTGAGGAGGAAATGATACCTGGCTAGTGCTGGTGTCTCAGAGGGGGCCCACTGAGGCTGGTTCTGGGGCTGCCAAAACAAAACAAAAAAACCCCCAAAACCCCAGCTAGATTCTGGAACTAGTGGCCACTGCCCTAGTGAAGGGCTGTTACTAAGGGGATGCTCATGGGAACAGGGAGCAAAGAGGCACAAATCCTTTCTTCCTCCATCCTGCCAGTCTCCCTCTAGCTCCCCCTACTGGCAGAGCCCAACAGGGAGTGACTAGCAAAGCAGAAAGGAGGTGTGCGGATTCCTAGCCCCGGCGTCACAGAGCAGCGTATAGAAAGGGTGAATTTGGAACTGAGAGATAATAACTTAATGACTGGTGCAGGGGCTTTTGTTTCAAGCTCGCACAATTTATGTTTTGGTTACATGGTGCAACCACAGTGGAATCTCAAAGGGTCACTCAGAGAGACCTCTGAGTACAATCCATTCATTCATTGGTTCACTGAACACATATTACTGAATGCCAGGCATGTGCTGGGTATTGGAGACAGAGCTATGAATGAGGCAGTTCTTGCTCACAAGGAGGTCACATCACACATGTGCACACACAGCACGCACATGCATGTGTATACACATATGCAGGTATTCACACACATGGTATAAATGAGAAAAGGAATAGAGAAGCACTGAAAGATATCTGGGCTTGTGAGCAGAGAGCTTTGTTCTTCTTGGCTGCCTCTGCTGGAGGATTGTGTGGCAAGGAGTTGAGCTCTTCTTGTTGGAGAAAAGAGAGGAGAAAGTGGCATTTAGCATGTCCTTGGCCTGGCGTGGAGATCATCGATTGTTCTGCTGCCTGGCTATGCTGTCCCAGCAAGCAGCCTTCCTGATAAGGGGGCAAATCAAGTGGAGGTTGACCCTGACTGAACGGAATGAGGCAAGTATAAAATAAATGAGGGCAGTCAATGCATGATGGCCTCTTGGAGGCCTCTGCTTTCCTCCTTGGGGTGTGTGGAGGAGTCTGCTCCTTTTATTTGTATCTTTTAGGCAATTGCTACAGAGCACTCAGGGCAAAACTTTTCCTAACACACTGGGAAGGCAGTAATATTTTCTGTGATTCTGTGTGAGGGGAAAGAAAGGGCCCTGGAGGTAGGAACTGCAGATTTTCCTTTAGTGTGGTGAGTTTTCCACATCCATGTCCTCATTTGACATTCATTGAGCACCTACTGTATGCCAGTGACAAAGAACAAGACAGATGCTATGGCTGTGAATCAGTGGATGGTGTATACTGTTAGGCTCACCCCCTTCCCTCTGATCTAGGAAAGTTACAGGCCCTCCGGACACTCCCTTTTTCATATAATGAGTGTCATGTTTCAGGGTAGGCCTTCCGTTAGTCACAGGACTGAGGGAAGCCACATAACCTCCTTGGACCTCTGTTTTCTCATCTTTAAATTGAGGAGTCAGATTAGATCAGCTCAGGATCCAGCCAATATTTGCTGAGGGTTCACTCTGTGCCAAGCACTGTGTTATTCCTAGGTTGTCGTTATGATGACCCATTTAACTTAGCATTTCGAGATGATCCTGATTCATATAATTTTATTCCTCTCAATAAAGGCAACTTCTAAATATATAACTGAATGTGATTTAATGTTTTCTGTAGACTTTTTATCTGAGTCAGAAAACAATGAGGTCAAGTGTTAGAGGTGGTGGCTGTGAGGATATAACGGAGGTGTATCTGTTAGCTTGTGCTGTAACTTAGTAATTACAGCCACACATACTTATTCTTTCCCATGATCCTGTGTGTCAATTGGGCAGATCTGGTCTGGGCTGGCCTGGCCAGGGCTGGAAGGTCTAGGATGGCCTTACTCCCAGTTCTATGGTCTCAGTCTGGACAGCTCCATTGGCTGGGTCCCGTCTCCACGTGTCTCTCATCTTCCAGGAGGCTAGCCTGGGCTTGTCCACCTGGTGTTGGAAGGGCCCCCAGCAGCAAGAGAGGGCAAGCCTGGAAGCCCAGGTGCTTCTGCATGTCCCTGCTTGAGTCAGGTTTCCTATTGTCTCTTGGACCAAAGCAAGTTGCAAGGCCAAGCCAGAGTCAGCATGGGTGGGGATGACCCAAGGGCCATTTTGCACACAGTTTCCACAGGAGGTAATAGATGCCAGAGGCATTTTGGCAGCTTGTTTACATGTGGGGGCCAGTGAGAGGGAGGTGGGCCCTGATGGTGTCAAGGAGGAGAAGCTGGATGAAAAGTATGGTGGGGCCGTTGAGAACCAGAAAATCTGAAGGAGGACCAGATTTGATGAATGAGATTTTGTTTCTATGCAGGTTGGGGTGCTGATGGGTCTCACCCCACTACCATCTAACAGACTACTCAAAGTCATTCAACAAATATTCCCTGAGCTCCATCTATTTGCCAGATCTGCAGATCCCCTAGGACAGAGACTGGGGTGGGAGCAGTAATGTGGTAGAAATGTGTGACTTCTTAATATGGAATAATGGGAGAAAAGATGAAGGAGAGATTCGAGACTTGCTAAAGGCTAAAGACACACATATGTATACATGTACCACATGCATACACACACTCACATATACATGCATGCGTGGGCTCCCACACATGCATGCTCACACTCACCCACACATGTACCCATGGCCACATGTCTACATGTTTGCACACACCACACATGTGTACACACACCACGCACGCGCAATGTGTGTGCACATGCATGTTCTTTCAGACAATCTCAGATGGCTTACAGAAGCCCGTCCTAGGAGGTCCCAGAATTACCAAATAAAAACCAGGCTGTGGAGAGAGGAGACGGGAGAGGACCAACACCAGGTGCTGGGGGAAGCTTCTCCTCCCCTGTTTAAGGCAGGTGACTGTTGTCTCAAGATACTACCATGCTCTGCTCTACATAATGATTTTTGAAGTATATTTTTGCACATCAAACTTATCCCCTTTTTTTAAGAACAGGGTTGACACGTGTCTGTTTAAATTAATTTTCCCATCTCTGTGGACACATTTGGGGGAAACAAGTCTTCATGCTAATAACAGAGAATCTGGTGGCCAGGCGGGAAGAAATGAGGGTCGGGGGGTAGGAGGTGAGAGGAGACCTGTTTAAAAAGGTTTCAAGATAAGTAGCCCCCTCATTTAAAAAAAAAGCCAGGCTGTACGTTAGCATCAGAAAATCAACCCACATCAGTGCTGGCTTTCCATTAGGGCCTGCTGGTGGCCAGGGCCAGTTAGGTTGGTGGCTGTGAATAACAGGCGCTTTTGGAAAATGTGGCAGAATGAGCACTGTCCCTGCTGCCCTAGGAGCTGAGTTGTTCCTTTAAGTCCTCCATAGTCCTGACGGCCCATTGTTCCCAGGTCTCGTCGTCAGCAAAAATGTGGGGCTCATCCCACTGAATGGAAAAGAAAGACAGGCTGTCGGCCGCCCCTCCCGATCAGTTCAGGGCTTTCCTCTTGTTTATGTTTAGAGGTTTTCAGCTGACGAGAGTGTCAGCTTCCATCCGAACACTCAATGGCATTAAAGTCGGCTCTTCGCAGCGGCGAGTGTGAGAACGTGCACAGCAGAAAAGCTCTTTCCTGTTTGGCAGAAGCCATAGGGGGAAGGGTGGCAGCTGCTGCCACAGTCCCTGACAGAAATGGGCACCGCTTATTCTCCAAGAGGAAGCTTGGCATGATTTTCTCAGAGGTGGAAGGACAGCTGATGTCAGCACTTAAGGAAAACAGCTGGGAGATTTGGGGGGTGGGGGCGGGAGGAGGGAGGGGGGAGAGAAAGAATTGGCAAAGTCCTTAAACCTTGGCAAAGGAATAAATGTATATGAATGGGGCCACATCTTCAGTCTGAAGGGGGAGACCTGAACAAGGCCCCTTGAGTCAGGAAGGGGTGTCTGTTAGAGACCATGAGGATTTGGAAGAAATATTCAATTCATTATTAGTAATGGGGAACTC